AAATTGTTGAGTTGTAATTAATTTGTTGGTAAAGTTATATGTTAAATTTTCTATAAGTGTATTTCTTGATACATTTTGTGATCTTTTTCTTTTAAACACTCCATCAAGCATGTTTTTAAATTGTTCATTTTCTTTTGTTTTTATTTTAATAATTTTATCAAGCCATTCAACTTCACTTGGATGTTTGTGTTCTAATCGTTTTGCAAATACAGAGTGAAAACTTTCACATATATTGTTTGTTCTTGTTTTACAACAATATTGATTCCACATTTCTTTTGGAAAAACATTCCCAAGCCAAGTTTGTTCGTAATAGTTGTAAACTTTGAGTAACTCCGAATCTGTGCAATCTTTTTTCATGTTCTCGAAAACACCACTAACATCTTCAACTGGCAAAAAAGCCAAACACATGAGAGATTTTACAGAATTATATAATTGTTGAACTTCTTTAAAACGGCTCGAAAGTCCCAAAGTGTTGACTTTTCTCCAAAGAGATTGACACAAGTGAAAATAGCACCCCTTTGTAATACAGCCAAAGTATTCAAGTGCATTTTGAACTGCCTTTTCAAAATCAATCATCACACTAACACAATTTTAAATAAAACATACCCATTGTTATTTTTTTCCAGTAATCATTAATACAATTAAACATTTTTTGAATAATGATTCTGTTTTTACAATGAGTAAAGTATGCACCAAAAGAAAAATGTTCTCCATTTTCAACATGCAGTGTATAGTGTACAATTGATAATAATTTTTGGGTGCAGAACTAAATGTACCCATGAACAATGATTCAAAATCATTATTTTTGTTAACTTCATCTTTATTTACAAATACAGCAAAAACTGAATCATCCTTAATTGAATAATCATTGTATAATGGATGTGATTTAATATCAGAATTGGTAAACATTTTTGTCTTAATTTTCTAAATTTTCTTAATTTTGTACTTTTCTTTTACTGTACATAGAAAAATCTATATCTTCCAGTGCTTTTGAATTTGAAACAAATCGCTTTTCAATTAGTAAAACAGTTTCAATTAATCTTTCTTTTGCTTAGTTTTTTTACTTTTGCATTGTAAGATGGGCGTGAATGAATTTGATTGTATGAAGTGATAATGTAAGATTTGAAATTTGTGATATTATTAATTAAACCATCAAATTCAACAATTTTAATTGATATATCACAATAATATCTTAAAACTGGTAATTTAAATAAGAACTTCCAATTCTATGGACCACATCGTCTTCAATTATTGGTGTTTTTCTTTCTGATATTTTTGAATTCAATGATTTAATGTTTGTAAACAGCTTTAGATTTTTATTTGTATTTATATAATTTGTAACATTTTGTGTAAATGATGAAAGTGGAATATTAGTTAACTGAAGATGTTGCTCCGTTGATCCAATGTGTTGGTTTGGTAAATTGTAAAAATGTGGTTGATATGGATAAAGTTGCATAAATGGAACTTGTTGTTGATATTGTTGACAGTTGGAATAATTGCATGGATATATTGGCATGAATGGTTGTTGAAATCCATTGCAAGGTAACATCAATGAATATATCAAATCAGTTGTATTTTTTTTAATTAATAACATGATTATTATCCACGTGGAATTAATTGTCCATAGAAAACAAAATCTTTAATCAAACCCGATTATTTATATGAAAATTAACTTAATAACAATTCGTTATTTCATTTTGATATTATTATTCGGGAATCAAATGTCCATCAAAAACACTAATATAAAAATAAAAACCCGATTTGTAGCATTGTTAATAACCAAATAATCACAAGGAATCAATTGTCCGGAATCAAATACTTGGCCACCGAATATTAGTCGTGTATGAAATATATTTTTGATTATTAATTGTTACATTTGAATAATTACCACCATTTTGTTGAAACAACAAAAAAACAATTTTAAACTGTTGTGATCACTTTATAAATGAAACTACATAAATAAACACAATTATGTTTAAAAAACTATTTGTTGATAATTAATATAAATGAGATATTATATACGATCAATTAAACTGTTGTATTATTTTTTACTAACAACACACATTTTAAACATGTTTTTTTTATAAAATTAAAATAACAATGAAAAAGTTAGATAAAGACATCATCATTTGATTATTAATTTTGATTTTATAACAAGAGTTAGCATAAAAAAATTTGCTGTTAACAGCTACATTTTCAAAAAGTGATCAAAAAACAAACAGTGTTTTTTACATTGTAGTATTGTAACATAAAACCCAGCTTTAAATTATAACACAAACATTAGTATAATTTCACATTTTGCAACAATTTCATGTTTTTACTCTATACTCACAAATATGTGTTCATAAGTTATAAACAATAATTTATTATGTTC